CAGGCTCAAGCCGGGCGCGTACTCCGCGGGAGGTAAAGAGGCTGCCGGGCGGGCTGGCTGGGAAAACTGTGCGAGGCCGCCCGGCGTTTGAAATGCCGTGCGCAGTTAGTTATTTGTTACTGCGGCCCTGCAAAACATCACCCGTTCTCCTGAAGTAAAAAGAGAGCAGGCTTCGGGTAGAGTGATTTGAAGCGTGCGTTACTGAGAGCATACAGTGAATGGAAATTGGTGAAGTTCAAAATTATCTCCTGTGGAGGTATTTCTAGCTTTGAAAATTCTGTTTTAAGTAGCTGATGTCCTATCAACAGTTTCAGAATCACTGGTCTACCTAGAAAATACATATACAGTTATATCATAAAAATCATTGTTGTTACACTTGCTCCGCCTCCCTGTTAGCTATTTCACATTTTGTCTGGCATTAAATGAACTTAAGTAACATTATATGCTAATCACCTGTAATACTCATTTTACAGTTCAGTTATTTCTGAATTATGAATGCTTAACATTTTAATCAACCCACATTTACTGTAGACTTTTTTTGAAGGGTTCTTAGACTGAAACATTACATGTGAAGTTTCAGCTTCAATGTGCTTCTCTGTATAGGAAAGTTAGAGACCTACTGCACCATATAATGCAGTAATGGAAGCATTGACACGGTTTTAGTTGTGATACTGGGCAGAGAAATTGCAAGATGACAGTGTTTAAAAGCAGAGTTATGGCTAAGGATGCAATAATTTATTTCCCATTTGAATACTTCTACAAAATTTAATTTATGTTCCAAAAAAGAAAAAAAGTAAAGGCAAAGAGTAATCTGGTTTCAATTACATGCTGTAGAATTGTTAGTAGGCCAGAGAATAATTTGGAATATTTTCTTATTGGGGCAGCACTGTAAGAACATGAAGCATACAGGATTTTATTGCTTCTCTCCCGGTTCAGTAACTTAAAAGATGAATTAAAATAGGTGTTTGTTTGATCTATGTACTGTAAAAATTTTTTTTCTATTCCACATATATTTTCCAATTATGTTCATACGTATGTGTTGATCAAGGCTTCCTAAACTGGTTAGACATAATGGATACTTTTTGACTGGGAATATCAGATACTCTTGAAAAAATGCCTCAAACTGGGCACTGAAGAATCAAGATACCCCCAGACTCATAGTTTGCATGTCCAAATCGTGGCCAGTTTTGGCTAACCTGTACCATTTGCATCGTATTATTTTTTCTCATACGAATGATATATGACTAAATGAAACTTTAGTTTTTACTTACACAAGTAGTATTTACCTTCCAGTCAACATCCCATCAATAAAAATTTGTAGGATTGGAACTCAAGTTTGCATTACGTATTACCATTGGTTGAGATTCACTAACTGTAGGGATATAGCTTAATGAGCATAAATATCTCTCCTCAAGCGTGATAAAGTTTTGAATGCTGATTTATTTTACTTTCTTTTCCTAAGTTTGCACAGTTACATAGCAGACAGCCCTCTGTTCAGAACGTCATTATTAAAAATATAGTCAAAGAAATTTAAAGCATTGCTTATGGTATCATTAAATATATTGCAAATAGCGGTAAGCTGTGTCTGCCAATTATACCATAAAAAATGGCTTGCATAGTACTAGACTTTCCCCTAAGTACCACATAGCTCAGGATTTGTACTAAGTACTAAAATAACCAGAATCAACAGGAGAATGTTAACTTAAAGTGAAGCAGTAAAGCTAGCATCTGTAGGGGGAATGAATTGGATTTCACAATGTGTGCGTGTGTCATAGGGTTTGTAGGAACAGCATCGGATAAAGGTTTCAGTTCCTTAAATTTTGCTGCTATTTGCTGCTGTTGAAGTTGGATAGCAATCTTCCTCCAAAAGACTTCAAACATTTTTTTCAGTGTAAATGATTTAAACAGAGAGCTTGCTTTTTACCCTACATATTTCTCTTTTTCAGACTTTAGATGGCTTTGTTTTCGTGGTAGCATCAGATGGCAAAATAATGTACATCTCAGAAACCGCATCTGTACATCTTGGCTTATCTCAGGTATGAGTGATTTATTCTGTCTATCTGTTAAATACGGATACTGGATTTGGAACCTAACACTAGTATCTTGCTATGTATATAATGTAATCGTTTTTTAGGGGTATTTGAAGCTTCAACTTTGTTCTCTGACAAATGGCCTTACTTAAATATTCAAGTTTCCTTTACTTACAATCACATCATGACTGTCTTTATATCTTTTCTTGTTCATTGTATTTTACTCCTCATTACCTTTAAGAAGGGTAATAAATAATATGATATTGCAAATTGCAGATATATACAGAGCTTGAAACCCAAACCTGTTGCCTGTGGGGTAACGCTATACGTCTGAAATAAAGTTTAGAATTCAAGTCTATATGTTTTAGATTGTGTAAGATATTGAGACTTGCTATGAAATACAGAGGAAATCTGATGTGGAACATGAGTTTTATGGTAAATGTGCTTTAGGAAAAAAAGAAAAGGGGGGCAGATTTATGAGTGTTCACATGGAATTCAGGGTAGTTTTTCCTGAGTTTTTCCAGCTCAGTGGTCTTTTCAGTAAAGCGTTTTATATGGTTGTGATAGAACTCATAAAACTCAGTTTACTACTGTTCTGCACAAGAAGTATAAGGGTTTTTTATTGTTTTTCTTCTTAGAAGGACATTTCTAATTTTTTGCCTTCTTGGGATAGGCACAAGGGCAAACAGTCTGAATTTATTGCAGAGTGCAAGCTTCTATACCTTTGTGTGTAAGCGTATTACACAAATTCATTGGTAGCACCTGACCTAAAGCTTGCTGAAGTCCAATAGAAAAACTAATTAATTTCACTGGGCCCTGGATGAGACTTGCAAGAAACAGAACTGTTTCTTCAGAACCAGTTGCAGCTCAAAAACTTCTCAGAGTTAAATAAAGTGAAATAAAGACTTAATAGCAGAGGGAAGAAAAATGAGGAGATGAAGGTGAGAGAGCACAGGGTGTTCTGAAAACGTCTGGGGAATATGCCCTGTGGCTATTCCAATAAACAGAGAAGGGGCTGAGTCATGGAGATAATATGTGTGCTTTAACTTTGGTAATAACTAATATTTTTGATCAAAAAACTATGAAGTTCTTTGGATGTGTGTTTATAATAGTGATATTAAAATTAGTAGCTGTAAGAAAAAAATAGAACTCTAAATAGCTAGAAAAAGCAAGTATATAATCTCATAAACACCACTTCCAAATCCAAAGACAACTAAATCCCTGTTTTTGTAATCTCTTTCAGAAAAAGTAATTTTAAGAATCAATATTCTGTGTGGATACTTTTTTTTCTGCCAACTTTTAAAAACATGTCCAGGGAACATTCTTAATTCAAGCAGTTTTTCAATTGAGTCTGTTACAGTATAGTATTAGTTGTTTCATAACATTTAATGCGTGTTCAAATTACTTTAAATAGTGCTTTGTTTTAGAATAAACTTTCCTAGACAATGGCCATATTTTCTACCCTGAATCAACAGCATTATTAAAAGTTTTTCTCGCCCTAACTTTTGAAAAGATCTACCACACTGCTGACTGCTTAAACAGATTCATTTAGTCAGTACAATTATTCCAAAGCACTGAGTGTTCCCATCTGTCCTTGCTGAAGTAGAGTTTCATTGTCCCGTGCTGCTTGCTGTTTGATAAGTGCTAACTGATCTTCCAGGTTTTGTCCAGAAATTGTTTCTTTCTTTTCTTTCTTTTTGAGGAATATCAAGTCATCAGATCTTGTAGGTCTCAGTATTATCCAGTCATCTGGTGAAATTAAAGAACTATGGGATCAGTAGGGCACTAAACAAACTTGGCCACGTTCAAGGAGAGGGGACTGAAAGCGTCATACAGGCTTTAGTCATATTTAGCCCTCATGACCTCATGGCCCTCTGCACAGACTGAATTCCATGTGCGTTGCACATGTAAATATCTATAAACCCTTAGTGCAAGAGGTGCTGATGAAAACTAGAGGATTTGGTCATATTGCTTATTGAAGTCAGTTTAATAAGTAAAATCACCAATATTTCACTTTAGCAGAGATTTGTAAATGAATATGCTGTATCCTTGAACTCCCCAGAAAGCCACAGATTGGAGAGGACAGAGGGAAGTGAAATTTAAGGGCATGTTTTAGATTCTCAGAACACTAAGTGCTCCAGCAGTTTCACAGCGCAGTTTTTTATTTATAAATACAAAACCCCAGCTAAACAAGGCAGTGATTTTTCACCTCGTACTGTTTTATCATCTAATCTGTTCTTGCTATTTCTCAATGTTCTATTTTTGAAGGGACAGTTTTGCTTTAAGTAGCACTAGCATTAATACTAGGCTACTCCTATGTACTAGGATATTAATACATTAACACGAGGATATTCCTGTAAGCTTCCCAGGGCTCTAAATGAGTTCTTGTTCCTACTTCTCTGGAAATCACTGGGAGTTTTGCCACTGACATCAACAAGAATGAGATTGGTCTGTAGAAGCAAATTCTGCAAGTCTCCCTCACCAAGTCATAATCCCACACTATATTTTCAACAAGTGCTCTTATAGAGCTCCAGCCAATACAAGCTGAGACCAGAGTGATGATGATTGTAGAAAATCTTTTAGAGTGTGCATAGAAAGGCCTTTTTATTAAATAATTTGACAATTAACTAGTCCACACATCAATTTCCAGTTAAAGTGCAATTTATTTTAAAATATATATTTAAACTAAATAAAAAGTCCATTTAAAAATATTTTGCAGGATATTCTTGGAGACCTACTACAGTAGGCTTTATCTTCTAGTTGATCTTGAATTTAAACACTGGCTGGTGTAGTTAAGCTAGTTTAAAATTTAAAAACAACATTAAGGATTGTTTTTCAGCACTACTTCACTCACTTCTGTCTGCAGAATCAGAGAATCAGAAACAATATTTCTGAAAAGGCTACATCTTCATTTGTGGACTTATCACTTAATTTGTGGGTTTGGATTTTAATCTGCCTTTGCTCTCAACTGTACCAGTAAACACTGTAAATACTGATGGGTAGGATGCCCTCCTCCATTTAATTTCAGCTGGCCTCAGACCAGTGTTGAACTGACTTGTACTAGCTGAGAGAGCCAATTTCTTGCCTCTTTTTTTCCATGGATAACAAATAGGTTCAATTCCCCAAATATTTTTTCCCCTTAGAGGCCAAAGACAGAATGGAGAGGAAAATCCTCTTAGGAAACAATGGTGAAAGATTTTTTTTTAATTTTTTTTTTTTAAAATTTTGAAAGTCTGGAGCTTATTCCAGCCATTTTCTGGGTCCATGAGGGAGCCAAGCTTATCTTTGGCTTTTGATAAGTCTTGAAATATTTAACCACAAACATCTGAACTTTTCCAAGAGTTTATTTTACTTTCATCAAATAAGTATATGAAAGGCAAAATATGTAATTATTTGCTCTAGAATCCATCTACTTAGTCCTCTGTGTTTATTATGAATTGTTTCTTGGCAGGAAAAAAATGTGCAGCTGAGTTACACATAAAAACCCTCTTAGTAGGAAACAGCGATATTTGGTAGTAAGCAGGTATTTACAGATAGTAAAAAGCTGCATCGAGGAAGCTGGTTTAATAAGCCTGAGGCATGGGATTTTAGAATGTTTATGAATTGAACCATATAATTTATTTTTTTAAGTTTTCAGTGTTTCATTGTAGGCTTTAAAATAGCATGCATGCACTATGCGTAGCAGGAGACTGTGGTCAGTTTCAAAATTATGTATACATATTTTGGTTATTTGACTCCTACATAGCCCCCATCTCTTTGCTGACGGCTTTATGTTTCCACTTGCATTTTTACAGTCAATTTTGGTTTCAGTGTTGTATGTTCACCTCCTGCTGATTTTGCTGGGGTTGCAAATGCATACATCAGAGTAGAAAATATTCCTATGTGTATAACGAGAAAAACTAGTCCTTAGTTTGACAAAGCACTTTAGTTCTGAATTTTAGATATAAGCCCTGGGATACAAATTACGGTTTAGATAAAACTGTGACCTTGGGTCCAGTCCTGTGAATCCTGTGAACAAATGTGTGTTTCCATGAGTAGTCCTTTTGAAATAGGTAGTGACTTTTGGAAAAGCAAGAGATACCCTTGAGTTACACTTTGTAAGAGAGTAGATGCATGTTGATGTGGTTATGATTATACTCAGTAGTAGCAGAGTTGCAACAAGATCTTTTGAATTACTACAGTTGATGTTGCTAGTCAGTTTGGTTGGTGTTGTTTTTGTAAGAAAGTCCTTATATTGAAGGGAGAGATTGTTTGCACATAGTCACCCATGAACAATTTTTTTTGGGAGCTGTATGTAAGGTAAAACATACTCCTCAGTAAAATCACCATTAGCCAGAGATAAAATAGTAAGAACGGGGTCATAAGTGATACTCCTTTTGGTTTGAACGCTGATCACAGCTGTACATTTTTGCAATGATAATTTTTTTCATGTTCTGGTTTAGCATACAAGCCAATGACATGCCCATCACTGTAAGAATTATTAGATTTTTTTTAAAATTGGTTTTATGTGTCTGTAGGTGATTATGATATTTAGGGAGATAGCTATTTACAATGTATTTTTCCCCGTGTAATTCAAAACAAACAGAAGCATTGAGAAGCATGACTCACAGTGAGATTGTATATTCTCCTTCCTCCCCCGCCACTAAGCTTGAATATGGGATGTTACTATAACAGGTCCCCACCTGTTACAATCCTGAAAAGAAACAGCTAGTGCTTTTTAAGGAGAACATTTAGAGAAAATTTTATAAATGAAGCAACACAGATAATCTGCTTCCTTTCCTTTCCTTTCCTTTCCTTTCCTTTCCTTTCCTTCCTTTCCTTTCCTTTCCTTTCCTTTCCTTTCCTTTCCTTTCCTTTCCTTTCCTTTCCTTTCCTTTCCTTTCCTTTCCTTTCCTTTCCTTTCCTTTCCTTTCCTTTCCTTTCCTTTCCTTTCCTTTCCTTTCCTTTCCTTTCCTTTCCTTTCCTTTCCTTTCCTTTCCTTTCCTTTCCTTTCCTTTCCTTTCCTTTCCTTTCCTTTCCTTTCCTTTCCTTTCCTTTCCTTTCCTTTCCTTTCCTTTCCATTCCTTTCCTTTCCTTTCCTTTCCTTTCCATTCCTTTCCTTTCCTTTCCTTTCCTTTCCATTCCTTTCCTTTCCTTTCCTCCTTTCCTTTCTCCTTCTCTCTTCCCCCCTTTGTCCTCTCTCTCTTTTTCTTTTTCTCTTTCTTTCTTCACTTCTTTCTCTCTGCCTTTCTTTCTCTCTTTCTTTTTCTCTCTTTCCATCTCTCCTGTCCTTTTTTTTCTCTTTCTTTCTCTCTTTTTTTCCTTAACAGTGAAATTTTATTCTGGTTAGAATATCAAATCAGTGTTAGTGTTTTTGTTTTTGCAGGGAGGGGTTGCTGGAAAGAAGCAGTGGGGAATAGATGGCTAGAAAAAAGTTAGTTTGCATAGTCTTGGGAAGAGACATTCCATGAATAATGCAGAAAATGGAACGATGAGAAACATTTTCAGAAAAAGATTGCTTTGTGGGGTAGGCAACTTCATTTATTCCAAAGAAAAGGCAACTCGCACATCTTAGCAAATCAGTAGGATTGGCTCAGAATAATAGGTTAAATTACTTCACCTCTCAGCTGTCTCTGATCTTAGGGGCCCAAGGCACATCAGGCCACACTGAACAATTGGGCAGCCTGACACTAATTTAAAACACAGGCTCAAAGTATTGGTTCACTCCTTAAATCAATTACTGCATCTATCTGGAGACTTTTGTTGGTGAGTTTTATACGTGGCAAATAGAGTTAGCAAAAAGGACATACGGTGCGCGCCATTCATTTTTTTGTGCAACAGTTATTATGGGTACAACAGTGGGAAAGACAGAAATACATTCTTGTGCGAACAAAGTTCAAGTGAGAAGAGGGAATGCACAGATATTTAAGACAGATCTAGTCTTTACTGTGCATGTTTACTTAAAGCAGAGAAGGCTCAATCCAATGCCCATGAAAATCTATGGAAGTCTGCCTTTTGAATTCACTGGCTACTGTTCTGAGCCCTTCGCACTACTGCGGATTGAGTGTGGTGGATCATCTTTGAAAAGACACAAAGGAATTGTGTAAGTCTAGTGGTTTGGCTCTGAAGGCTGAGCTGCCAGCTGAATGCAGGTGATAGTTTCTGGGAACCTGTAGAAACATTATTTTTTTGGATATCTGTCTTCTTGAGAGACATTAATACAGTTCACAGGGATTTTATCCTGTTTTGTGGCAATCTAACATTTCTACAGCTGCTCTAGTTTGTCACTTCATTTGCCAGCTCTCTCTAATAGCAGCTTTTCTGTATCCGGATCATCACTAGAAATTCCCACAAAAGTGCCTATAATATTAGTTACTGCTGAAGAAGGAATTAATTCAGTTTAATGGGTATAATTTGGAACATGGTTTTGATACATTCAACTTATGTTTTAAAAATGATGTGTAGTTGCCCAGATGCAGTGTATGAAGGTTACTTAAGAGCACTTTTGGGATAGGAAAAAAAATAGTCGGCTGCACTGCTTCATGTGTTACATATCTCTTCACAGGTGGAGCTTACTGGTAATAGCATTTATGAGTACATACATCCTTCCGATCACGATGAAATGACAGCTGTTCTTACTGCTCACCAGCCTCTTCATCCTCACCTCTTACAAGGTACTTGCGTGATCTGTGACCAAACTACCATTGAAAAACTAAAAAAAGTAACAACCCTAGGCTCAAAAGTGGGAAGTTCGTATTTATCCGATATGAAGCTATGCACGTGAATGGAGGAGGAGCATGAACTTGAAACTGTGACCCAGGATTTTGGTTTGTTGTAGTAAAGGGAACAATGTATCTTAGATTAAATAATGCTTTTCATGCCATGGAGTCCATGCAGTTTTAAACAGGTTTTTAGATTTTGCCCAGTGGCCATTTCATCTCTTTTACTTTGTCATCACTGATGAGGTTGGAGGAATGTTGCAACGGTCTAGCTGTGCACAGCTGCAGCTATGCGGTCTTAGTGGAAAAAAAAAAAGAATAATACATTAGGCAATTGGGAAATAGGAGGATACTTTTAATGTTTTAAAAACAACTGTTAAATTTGAAGCTTGGACAAAAAGCCAGACCTAATAGCCTCCACTGTAGGAAGAGCAAAAATGGGTTTTGTAAATGACCTACATTTAGAAACTCTCATAAAAAAGTGATCTCTCCAGGAAAATAATGTCCTCTTGCCTTGATACTGGATCACTGATTCGCCAAGCCTCTCCACACATCCTGTTCGTGTGCTGCAGATGATTCACCCACGCGTACCCATACAGCATGATGCTAAGCTGGATGCAGTGTCAGGGAAGACAGCAGAACTCTTATTGATTATGTGAATGTCTGAATCAGACTGTCCACTCTGGCTGTGCTCAGCCACCACACATAAATATTAACATAATCCTTTGTGTATTAAGTTGTTACTTCAGTGTTGTAACTACTATATAACTAACAAAGATATGCTCATCTTTGCACTATTTTCTTCAGTAGCTTTTGTTTCCTTGGGGGCAATTCTTTGAACTTTAAAATATCAGAAATAATCTGACTCCACCATGTACAATGTGCTTTCACATATATTTCATAATCAGCTGGAGTTCACATCCTGCTAGGTTTTACTGGCCTTCTTAAGGCACAGCTCCTAAAAGCATGAGGAGCTTTGGGTTCGCACTACAATTCTGTTTAGGATCAGGCATCTTTTTTGCAGTTCTGGTGCCTCTGCATTTTCTGTACTTGGTGATCTCACCACAGTTCTGACTGCTGTGATTTCATCAGCACAGAACCATGTACCCTCTGCATGCAGAGAAGTTTAATGTTCCTGGAAGCATATGTACTGCTCTGAATGGTGTAAATGAAAGTACTATCTTAGCCTCCTTCTCTCTTCTTCCTCCCCAAAGGGGTTGTTTTGTGTATCCCTTGGTGTCTTGAAAAACAAACTTATTTTGCTTGGACTCTTCTGATTCTAGTTGTTACTTGACTGTTTCGTAGTTTGCTTATTCCTCTGTCAGGGATTTTTTTTTTTTTAAATGTTGACACTTTTTAAATAACAACATTTTTTTCCTCGTTCCTACCTTACCTGATAAGCAGAGGGGATAACTCTGGTATAAATCCATGACTTTTTGTGCAGTTCTGCTGGTATCCAGAATTGGTAGTAAGACCAGTTTTATACCCACTGTCTCGACAATGGCAATAACCTCCTGGTTTTGTTACAATTTTTTTTTTTTTAATTTGTTAAGTGGAAATTTTTTACAAATTTAAAGTCATGGGCGGCTGATTGGAATTAATTTCTATGTCAAATGCAAATAAGCCTGCAGCTCTTCCTGTTCTCTGTTTAGTGTCATGACTCTGGTTTACCAGAAGCAGTGAGACAGCACACTAGTACTGCAGTTCCAGAAGGGTTTCTTTTTTTTGTTCAGAACTAGGTAGTGCCTGTTTCTTGCTTACATTTGGATGTCTCTGGATGCTTATCTTGCCTATTAGCATCTGTTTTCTGAAACAATCAGGTCGTTCTCATTTTAGCTACTTATGGTCAAATTCTTGATTTCCTTAACAAATTCTCCTCACCACATGTGAAGTGTAATTCTGCTCTGGTTGTGTTTGAAAAGACTTTACACACAAATGAAACTGTTAATTTCAGTTTACTTGCAACTTTTTTGGTCTGAAATTCTGCCGATGGTATAATTAGCCCCAGATATATGCCTCATTCTCTGTAGCTTGCTTTACCTCATTCTACATAGATGCTGTTTTTTATTAGCATCAAGCTCTGGTTTCTCAATAGTGCAAAGGTAAAGGAAAATTTACCTTGAAATGTGATCCATTTGCATATGTTTTGTTCTGTTTAAAATTTTGTATTTTAAGAGGAAATTGATAAAAACCTCAAAATCAGATTCCTAGACTTGGAGAAGATAAATAAAGGAGTTAAGCCGTGTTCTGGTTTGTGTAGGGATTATTTTATGCAAATCTTACTTCTGCATGTCTCTTCCCCATACAATGCATGGAGTGGGTGTATTAAAATACCCAGAATCCATAGCTAAATCTTTTTAAAATGAACAGAGTGATCAAATATTTTTTTTTTTATTTGTCTTCCCTGTCCCAGTAATTCCCTTTTCTTCAGTGTATATATTTTATACGTATATATCTTGAGGTATAACCTGAAACTATCTGGCCTACAGAAATCAAAACAGGTTTCCTATTTTTCTTCAGTGAAGCCCTGAAACCTATTTAATAAATGTCAGGAATGAAGCAACTCCTGTCTGTATCTTCGTAGATATTTTGAATATTTAAATAAAACATGGAGTTCTACAAATAACTTAGGACAGAGGGAAGTTGAGTGAAAGTGGCTTTATTTTCCAATAAAAAGGTAAACAGACTTTTAAAAGAGCATTTCTTGTCATTTCAGTTCGATTTTATCTCTTTTAATCTTTTAAAACACATCTGAATCATCAAGTCACTGAGTCAAATAAAAACTTTGCTTTTATAACTTCATTATCTTATAGATCTCTCCAATCTGTGGTATTATTCAGGAGTAAAATCAATATTGCACTGCAGACACAGACTTTCATAACATAAATTTACAGCTTGGCTCATGTAACTTTACTGGCTCAAGATGTGTTTTTCAGCTAATTCTCAGATACGTGTATACATTTTTAAGTTCAGTTGCTATTTCAGCAGTTGTAGCTGGGTAAGATCTGTTATGACAGAAATAAAATCACAAATGTGAACATACATATCTATACTTTGTGGTATTCTGTTACTGGTATTGAATAACCCAGAGTACAGATGATTTTTGACCTCCAGTTTTACAGTCTTTGTAAATTTGGATGCTATCCCCTTATTTATTTCTTCGTTTGCTTTTCATCATCTTCATTTTCCTTCATTATTCTCTTCAAACCTTCTCTTGCATTTCCAGTGCTTCATCAGTTCCATAGAAGCTTTTCTGAAGGACCAAGCAACATGAGAAATTTAGAAGCCTTGCAGCTGTCGAGCTCTAGAAATCTTATTTGCATGAGTTTTATTTCTCAGGGAAATGCAAATTATTGCTCTCTGCATAAAATCAGACATAGTGTGGATTTCTTTATATAATGCTCACTGTCACATTGTTTTTCTTCAGATTTCTCAGCCTGGTACTAAAAAAATTATATATTAGTTGAAAAGGCATAAGCCTTCTTAAATTATAACTTTTTAATTTTTTAAGTTTGCCCTGGACTTCCTGATGTTTCAGGTACAACAAGGCACATCTTCAAACATACAGGGTAGATACTTTGTTTTTTTAAAAGACAGTGAGAATTCTTGAATAATCACGTGCTTCCAGAAGCTGGGACTTCATAGCAATATTAAATGTAATAAAAATTGGGGAAACGGATGTTGGTGAACTCGCTGTTGTGTCATCACTCTTTAGATAAGTCCAATACAGTGCTACAGCAGGTTTTGGTAAGGAAAGCTTTTGGGACAAGAAACTGGAAGGCAGCAACTCTGAGAAGCATCTAAAGGTCGTGACGGACAAACAGCTCGGTTCGAGCTCATGTTGTGAAGCTGTGGCAAAAAGGGGTAATGGAAAATCCCTGTGCATGTAAGCAGAGGAATAGTGAACAGGAATAGCAAGGATGAAGAATTGCATTCTTTATAAAGTATTAGTGAAATGGACACTGGATTTTTCTGTATAATTCTGTTGTCCACTTTAAAAAAAAAAAAGGCAAATTGGAGAAAGTACAGAAGAGAGCCACAAAAATGAATGAAGGACTGGAAAGGCTTATAATGAGAGATTAAAGAACACCATCTGTTTGGTTTATCAAAAAGAAGATTGGGAGGTGACTTGATTACTGTGTGTGCATACTTCCAAGGGAAGAAAATACTGGGAACTAAAGGACTGTTTTAGAAGAAAAAAAACATATCAAGAACCAATGTCTGTGAACTGAAACCACAAAAGCTCAAATTAGAATAATGCATACATTTATAACGAGGAGTTTGATTAACCACAGGAACAAAATACCGAGGGAAGCAGTGGTTTCTTCCTCTTTTGATGTCTTCAGATCAAGGCTGCATGGCTTTATAGAAGATACACTTTAGGCAAACAGAAGTTACTGAGCTCAGCACAGGAGTAACTGCCTGAAGTTTAATGAAGTTACACCTATGATCTAATGCTCCTTTCTGGCCTTAAAGTCTACAAGCTATGACTCAATGAAAGCCATAAGCCCCATGATCTGTGGAGGTTTTGGAGAAAATAAGCTTTAACTTACAAAGTCTTTAAGCTGCCTTTTTACTTGCACGACCAGCTTTGAAAATGTAAAGCAATATGTACTGATCCCTTGCTATGAAAGAAGCCAACAGCTGGACCCTCTTTCTGAGGGTAACTGGGGTGGGGAAAAAGAATGATCTCTCTCACATACACATTAAAGGTGGGGTATGCCTCAGCAAATCACCTCACATGAGTCTTTAGGCCAACTTTGCACCAATTGTAACAAAATGAATCAATTATATTCAACTGGGATGGACTAGCAGAAAAAGAAAAAAAAAAGAAAAAAGAGAATAATTTGGTATCTTTTCTAAATGATGTGTACTGGCCGTGCTCAGATCTCAGATGACTTCACTGACCCTTCATGCCTTTCCAAATGTTGCTTAATGTTTTTCTGGTCTGCAGC